AAAAAAAAAAAAAAAAAAAAAAAGCATAAAGTTACAGAGCTCTGAACTACACATGTAAAAATCCTCTCATATTTTTAAATATATCGATATAGGACTCCTTACTTACTTTTATTTTATTCCTAATATTTATAACTTAAATAAATTGAGAAGTTGCTCTGAGCAGTCACCCTGCCAACATTTATGTTTAAAAGTTACCAGTATGTTTTCTTTTCTTTTTTTTTTTTTCGTGCCTGGCAACGGATCGCAACCCTCAGTGTCGCACCCGTACCGGACCGGGACCGGCAACGGGATCGCAACCCTCGGTGCTGCGTCCGTACCTCGCTCAGCCAGTGAGTGGGAACTGGTCTGTATGTGGGATCCAAACCCTCGGCGGGAGCGCCGCCGTGCTCCCAAGCGGCGCACTGTAGTAGTGCGCCACCAGGCCGGCCCCTACCAGTATGTTTTCTAACAAGTGCACTTACTTGCTGTTTCAATACCAGATTCTTCACTCCTTCCATCACAAACTGTGATCCTGTATTCATGACTCGTGACAAGAGACTAGGTAGGGGCAAAAGAGAAGGAGGACCACAATGAGTACAAATTGCCTCTCCAATATGTTACAGATAAAGTATTTGCCTTATTACACACCATGTGCTGATGCTCACTGTACCTACCACCTTTGTTTTCACTAAACAGAAGGGCCTTGAGAATATCTGCTGCCATGGGTATCAGTGCTGCAATTTTATTTAACAATAAAATAATAATAAAATACTCTGATTAGTCAATTATTATTAAAAACATAAAAATAAAGAGCTGCCCCTAAAATAACATTTTAATCGCCTGGCCTTTGCTATACTTTTTAGGCAAATTATATATATATTTTTTGGTTTTTTTTAGTGATTGATTGGCCTGCAAGGGGATTTGAACTCTTGATCTTGGTTTTATCAGCATCACACTCTAAGTGAGCTAACTGGTCAGCCATAGGCAAATTATAATTTGAGGAGAATTCCTTGCCTTCCTGATTGTCTTAATGCTAAAACAACAAAATTAAAGACTGTAATTCAGACAACTTGCTTTAGTAGTTCAAAACACACTAACATGGTGCTGGCCAGCAGTCCCCCCTAAAACCCACAAACAAACAAAGAAAAATGGAAAAAAACCCCCACACATAACATATTGAAAAAATATATGCCTGTGAGTATTATGAGTTAAGTCAAATGTTACTGTGTTCTCTATATCACAGCAGCTGGGTCCAATCATGAATTATGTACTGTTTCCCCCCTTTATACATAAAATCTAGCATATAAAAATGTGAAGCATAATAAACTTAGCAGATTTTGCCTCAACTCTAAAGAATGTTTATTACCTAAATTTTTAATAACAGAAAGAACATCAACGAATGACTTACAATACTGGGTTTATATTTGTGGTCAAACACTTTCTCACATGTGACCAAAGAATGCTTTGTGGGTAAGAGTAGTAAACCTGCATTATGATTTCAGAAGGCTAAGGATAGCCTTCAAATCATCCAAGATTTTTTTATAACACATTTTATTAAAATCTCCAACTATGAAAGCCAATAAGAAATCCAGTAGGTTATTAATATTCAATAAGATTTTAAGACTGAAACTAAGAAGTCTATTTTATTAAATACATGGGAGTAGTTTTCCAAAAATATTTTCCTTTTCCCTATCTTGTTCCTACTTCCCTGTGAAATGAAGAGATGGACAGGATGGGAAAACTTTCTTTAAAGAAACAAGATAAAGTAATCTTTGTTGGAATGAATGGTTCTGAGGCAATTCCTGGCACCAGGTAGCTCTGAGGAGTGTGCTAACCTGCATAATAACACTTCAGAAGGTGGGGCCAGCTAGATTCATTCTGCCAAGCATTTATAAGGTTCTGCCTTAGGCTGAGAGCTTCTGTTTTTGGAAATTGTTCCATTAAAACCAGTAGCTCAGTATAGGGCTAGGATGATGTGTTTTCCTCTGGGTTTCATGTTTTTATACTACCTCTAAAAAATAAGGTAAGAATATGAAACTTGTATGGTATGGACAAGAGTAGTCAGAATTACCTTGTTCAGCTTCTTTGAAAATCACACATACTCTATAAGATTCTCTTGGAACTTCTTACCTATATTTAGCACTATGTCTAGACCTATCTTGAAGCTAGGCACTCAAGACCTCACTTCAAGTCTCTATTAGTTATAAGTATTGACATAAAAATAGTTTTAACTTCCATATATTTTCTGAAAATGAAAAATGTAATGTCTTAAGAACAAAGAGGCATATAAAGTCAATAGCTCATACCATTTTAAATGATAAACTTATATTTTAAATGATAACACATTTTAAAGGGAGAACTTAAAACATCTAAGGACACCAAAGGCATGTTGACATTTATTCTGTGTCATAATGAAAACATTCTGCACTCAAAATGTCAATATTTTAAATGATAACACATTTTAAAGGGAGAACTTAAAACATCTAAGGAAACCAAAGGCATGTTGACATTTATTCTGTGTCATAATGAAAACATTCTGCACTCAAAATGTCAGACATTGTGTTTTTAAGGCACGGAAGTCTAAATGAGGTTTGGAGGACAAAGATTCAATCAGAATTATTTAAAATACCTACCCCATTGGTTTAGTGGTCATGTTGCCATAGCTGGCAGGAGCTGAGGCCATCTTACCAAAAGCCCTGTGAAATGAAAATGTTATACTTAAAAGCTGATTATTAGAGCTAACATTCAGTATCATTGTATGAAAATATATATTGACTAATTCTAATTTCTATGACGCAGACATGTTCTGAAAAGAATTTTTCAACTAATATAACTATACTACGATTAGTACTGAAACACTGAGATTCTTTAAAAAACACAAATGCATTAGTTGTCCAAACTTCACAATTTTTCTTTTCCTTTTTTATGTCTAATCATTAAAGAAAAGTACTGAGGCAGAGACATGCTGACTTAAAGAATAACCATTTAGTGATTAAGTTCAGTCTCTATTGTTCTCCACATTCTATACTCTCTTGATCCCAACACATGCCTTTGCCCATGCTGTCCTTTGGAGAGTATAAACTCACTCACTATCTTCTTCAACAGAAATTGCATTTTCCTTTTAATTCTCAGTTCAAGACAACTTTATTAACACTCTTCTCATTTCTTCTAATCAATGATTTTTCTTTAAGGCACGGAAGTCTAAATGAGGTTTGGAGGACAAAGATTCAATCAGAATTATTTAAAATACCTACCCCATTGGTTTAGTGGTCATGTTGCCATAGCTGGCAGGAGCTGAGGCCATCTTACCAAAAGCCCTGTGAAATGAAAATGTTATACTTAAAAGCTGATTATTAGAGCTAACATTCAGTATCATTGTATGAAAATATATATTGACTAATTCTAATTTCTATGACGCAGACATGTTCTGAAAAGAATTTTTCAACTAATATAACTATACTACGATTAGTACTGAAACACTGAGATTCTTTAAAAAACACAAATGCATTAGTTGTCCAAACTTCACAATTTTTCTTTTCCTTTTTTATGTCTAATCATTAAAGAAAAGTACTGAGGCAGAGACATGCTGACTTAAAGAATAACCATTTAGTGATTAAGTTCAGTCTCTATTGTTCTCCACATTCTATACTCTCTTGATCCCAACACATGCCTTTGCCCATGCTGTCCTTTGGAGAGTATAAACTCACTCACTATCTTCTTCAACAGAAATTGCATTTTCCTTTTAATTCTCAGTTCAAGACAACTTTATTAACACTCTTCTCATTTCTTCTAATCAATGATTTTTCCCTTTAGTTTTATTCTATACCACACACTTTAATACCTAATTACATATAGTCACTTATTTCCAACTCTTTCTATATGTCCAGGATCTCTTTAACTAAACTATAGGGTTGCTGAAGGCTGGGCAAAAAGAGAGCATTTAGATGTGTTTGAAAATTTTTTTTTTCTGAGAGTATTTTCACTGTAGAGAATCAAGACAATACAGAATGTGTGCTCCCAGAAGAATCCTACCACTTTGAGGTAACCATGCTGGTGTATCTTCTTCTAATCTTTGGATATATGCATATATAACACATGTGATTTAAAAACAAAATTAGCATGAACATTTAATGTCAATCAATATTCTTTCACAACAATTCCTAATTATTTCAATTGCTTTGTAAATGGAAAAAAAAAAAAGATTACCTAAAGAAAAATTTATGAGAGTAAAAAAAGAATGGAAATCACTAAGATATTGGCTGTTGAAATGCTAAAAATATTCAACTTCAATCTTGACAAAATCTGCTGATAATACCATCAGAGAAATGCCAACACAAAAATTTCAGTCTCGTTCAGAAAGGAGGGTGTGAATCAACTGTCCTTGAAATTTCTGTCTTAAGAATTTGTTTTTTCACTAGAAACTATATCTAAACTACAAGGAAGGGTTAAATAAATAACAGTACAATTATATGGCTGAATATTATGCAAACAGTAAAATCTACCATTGGAGACTAAAGACAATGAAAAACTGGCATGATAAAAGTTATTGGAAACTAGAATATGAAACTATCTAAAGTAATACTTTCCCACTTTTAAATATACATAATATATATACAAAACAGAAGGATATGCATTAATGCTTAACTATAGTCTCTGGATGGTGAGATTACATGTAAATTTTTACTTTCTTTATGCTTTCTGCGTTTTCTACAATTTTCTTCAATAAACTGGTGTGACTCATAATTGGAAAGAAAAATAAATGTTACAAATTAGAGATTATGTGTTTTGTACTATGTAAAACAATGCCCAAGACTGCCCTTAGAACTACAAATGTTGATTTAAGAGTTTCACATAAAACATAATATAAAAAGAACAATGACATACCCCACAGCCATATGTGTAAGTGTATATATTATAAGAACTGGAAAAAAGTTTTCAGCTTTTCTTTTTAAAAGTTTTGTTGTGTATTTTGCCCTTATTACAAGAACATAGTCAAATAAAATGAAAAGTGAAAAATAAAAGTATACATAATAAAAAGCACTCATAAGCTCATCACTCAGAGATACCCACTATTAATTTGGTATATTTCTCTTCTATGCATATTTTTTGATACAATTGAGATCAGAAAGCATATGAAATCTTATGGTCTTAAAAATTAATTATCTAAAAAATATTTCAGAGGTAATTTTTGTTGTAAAAAATTGGAAAATAAAAGCACCCAAAAGAAAAAAATTCTACCACTTAGAGTTAACCACTATTAATATGTAGGTGTATGTCATTTCAGATATGCAATTAAATGTATATATGTGTACAAAGATGGGTGGATAAATGGATAAATAGGGATTACACTGTAATAAGTGTCAAGTAAGTTTTGGCTCAAATGTGACCTACCCAGAGATTTTCCCTGATCTGCTAAACAAATTTAGCTATCACTCCCAACAAGTTGAGATCTTATCACTCAGTTTTATTTTCTTTACATCATTTAACATGGTTTAACATTATTCTGCTCATTTACTTAGCTGTTGATTAATTGTTCCCTCAGCACAAATGTAAATTCAATGACAGCAGGAGCTTTATCATGTTCACTATTAGGATATATTTATCAAACAAATCAATGAATAGTGTCAACTATTTTTCCACTTTACAACATAATGAACATTTACTTCTCACTGTCATTAAGTAAGTCTTCTATAACATCAATTTTACTCACTCAATTGTATTCTATCTTATGAAAATATCACAATTCACTTACTAATCCCATGACTGGACATGTAGGTTAGTTTTCAAAATTTCATTATTGCAATTGCTTCTAAGACTTTACAACTTCAGTCTCTTCTTTGGAATAAATCCTTAGGAGTAGAAGTACTAGGTCAAAGTTATTTATTTATTTATTTTTCCTTTTTGTCTTTTTTCATGTCCGGCAACGGATCGCAACATGTGTTTGAAAATTTTTTTT